GGATTCTCAGCGAGCTCGGCCCTCAGGTATGCCAATTCAGAGTCATTGTAGTAACCCTGGAGCACTACTTCGTTGAGGCTGGCGAGAGATGGTAGACCCAAAACAGAACTACTGTCGATGTATGTACCGAAACCAAACTTGAGCACCTCAAGCTTCGGGGCTGCTCCTTGTTCAAACTTGACGGACTTGAGCCATTCTTCGCGTCCCAAGCTCAGCTCCAGCACGACCAGGCTTGAGAACGTCCCCTGCTCGAAACTGAGACGGGCCTCTTCACCCTCGAGTGACTTCTTCAACAGATGCAGGAACGCCAGATTGGGTAGATTCCCAAGGACTTGCATGGCTGTATCGTGCTCTGTTATCCTGGAGCTCCGCAGCTTCAGCTTCACCAGATTCTTGAGGCCCTGGACCCATTCCGGCAATTCCACGAGGTTGCCGTACAGCTTGAGGCTCTGCAGTGTCTCTGGAAACGAGAACTTTCCCTCCAAGCACCCACATAAACCAGGCTTCCCCTCTGACCTACATTTCCGGTCAGAGTTTTAAATTTTATTATTCTGCTCTGAGACTAGTCATAGATTGCCATTTAGCTTTCTTCTGAGACAGAGTACTAGAACATAGGTTGGCCTATTTAGCTTTCTTGTACTAGTCATCTGTCTGACTTGTTGGCCTATTTAAAAAGCTCATCTCCTTTTGTTTTATCAGGTTCTCAGGCAACTAGAGCAGCAAGCTGAACAAACTTTTGGCCATTCAAAAACTCGATGATAATGACACTGTAAGAACAATTCATATGTATGGCAACATCATTCTCATCCTGGCTTGGTGTGTAAAAATATAATTGATTGTGACAAGTACCCTCTATTGCATTATGTTTTTTGTTGTGAAAGATCATGTTGCTATGAAGATATTATTGGTTCCAAGTAAAGCTGTTATGAGAGATTATGTTGCTGTGATGTCATTGATATTGTTGTGATGAGATATTGATTCCAAGTCAAGCAAGATTATGTTGTTGATGTGAAGAACTGTTTTCACATTTTTTTATTAGGTGTCATTTACAATTTTATAGCAAGTGTGTCTAGCCATGTAGCTATTTAAACTGTAAAGATTGAATTTTTAACTATTTTACACCATTTTAACTCAATATGGCAATCCCTCCCTACCAAACAGTGTTTTATATGGAGGGGATTGTGGCTGAAAGGGGATTTGAGTTTTCAAGGGGATCTGAGGGGACTGGGTGGAAGAGGGGGATACACCAAATCCCCTTAAATCCCCTCCTTCCCAAACCTCCCAAATCCGCTCCTACCAAACAAAGCATGGAGGATTTATGAGCTGATCCTCATGGTATTACCAGTTTGTTCATCATAATTACTAGGCGGAAACAACCCCATTTCGCACGTCCGACGGCGCCCTCCGCCTCTATTTGGTGGCAGATTCGGAAGGTGTGAACACTCAAGTGTTCAGTGGAACATGATGAAACGCAGTAAAACTGGGGACGCTTTCTGGAATTTTCTTTGGGTTTTGGACACCAACCAACAGAGGTGCCGGAACACGGCGGCTAGCGTTTAGGCCTTTACAAAACGAGATGCCCAAGTCTCCACAAGTCACATGCTTTATAGCCATTACAATCCAATGGAAAAGCAAACAGAAAGAAAGGGAGCAGGTGAGAGTGTCGGAAAAGGAACAGCGACGTGGAGCGGCCAGCAGCCGTCCAAACGAACATCCATGTCCATAACGAGCTCATGCTGGCACGATGCGGCAGGAGAGGTCTTGAGGTGTTGGATGAAGAAGGATGGACGGCTGAATCTAAATTACTGTCAAAGCTGTACGCTGCCTGTTAACTGAATATATAAGATCAGGTGTCGAATTCTTCAGACCGGCGCCTGATCTATTAAACTGAATATAAGATGAGGTGTCCATTTCTTCAGACCGGTGCCTGACCTTTTAAACTGAGTATAAGATCAGGTGCCGATTTCTTCATACCGGTGCTTGAAACAGCGCCTCTCCGGCCTTGCTCGCGTCAATTTCATGATGTTTCTCCATGGCGCGAGGGATGAAGATGTGGAGGCTGCGGAGGGTGCGGTCAAGAGCATGGCCGATGCGCGCCCCGACGGTCTCACATTTAAAATTCACAGATTTGAAGGTCTCATGAATGCTGCACGACTGTAGGCAATGCTGAACTCTTACCTCTTGTTTCTTTTTCAGCATTGATAGCAGGGCGTATATCAAAAGTTAGGATGGCCATACAGACTGGATTTTGATCCTCTTTCAATACTGCAATAGTTAGTGACAGCAGGCTGATGGCGTTGTTCTATGCTTTGTGCTGAATCAACTAAATTTGGCTCCAGTATTACCATGGACATGGAACTGCAGTCAGTGTTGCTCAAAATTTGTTTCTGATTCAGCATGCATCCATGCATGCTGCAGCCAGAATCCTCCGCTGAGAGCACACATATTTAGCAGGAGAGAATAAATCAAGACACAGTGAGTGGGAGACCCACATATATACGAGAAGAAAAGATTACGCCAAACACATATTCAGCTTCTCTAGATTCTTGAGCCCCTGGATCCATTCTGGCAACTTGAGCAGGTTACCGTAAAGCTTGAGGCTCTGCAGTGTCTCTGGAAACGAGAACTTTCCCTCCAAGCAGCCACATAAACCAGGCTCCCCCTCTGATCGGATTGACAATGACTCCAGGCGGCTCAGACCAACAATTGCTGAACACAACTTCTGGCCTTTTTCCTTATTGACGCCAGTCACTCCCAACTTGCGCAACAGCGTGAGTCCTTTTATGTCTTGTATAATAACCTTCCCTCGTGTTCTGATGTTCACAACACCCAATGTGTGCAGGGCTTTCAGTTTCCTCAACCCTCTTGGAACTAGCACACCATCCTCAGTCGGCATTGTGGTAGCTCGAAGATAGTTTAGCTTCTGAAGCTTGATGATGCTCTTTGGCAACTTGACAATCCTAGTACCTCTGACATCTAGTGTCTCGAGTTGCCTCAGGTTGCCCAGTGAATCTGGCAGGTAAAAAATATACCCACATCCTCTTAGAGAAAGGTATGTTAGGTGAAGAAGCTTCCCAATATGCTTAAGGTGATGATCATAGAGATCATATGTGTCTTCCAGGTCTAGCACTCGTAGCAACCTCATCTTGCGAGAAAAAAAAATGACTTCCACACTCCAAAACATGTAATTGACCGTAGACGGGACATGTCCACTATGCTCTGAAACTCATTCTTATCTCCCTTCCAGTTGCTGCTTATAGCCAGGTGGCACAACGTGGTCTGGCTGTTCGAGCTGCAACCTTCCTCCAGTGTAAAAACAAGATTTTCTTCCATCGACTTGGAGACACCAATTTCACGGATAAGATCATGAACTTGGCAGGAACCAATTCCATTTGTACCGACGATTGATTGTTGAGATGGTAGGATCATACTCCTGCTTATAAGTTCCATGAAGTAGCCGTCCGCTATTTCCATCGCACACTTGCCATGCACGTCCCTTGAGTAACCCTCTGCACTCCACCGACGTGCCAATCGTCCCCGTCCAACCTTAACGTGCCAATCGTCCCCCTCCAACCTTGTAATCTTCGGGAAAGATGGGCATATATAGGAAACATGACTTGAGATGATAAGGCAAACCATCATAGCTTCTCATAAGGACATTTCTTATGGTCCCAAGCTCTGGATTCATCTCCAACTCAGAATTGATATTATCATTCAATTTCCTCCATTCCAAAGAGGTTTTTGGTTGGTTGGACAAGAAGCCACCTATGGTGACTATTGCAAGGGGGAGCCGACCACACTTTCTCAGAATCTGTTCTGTCTGTTCAACTAGCTCTGGATATTGCAAATTCAAATCAGTAGTCTTCTTGAATACCTGAAATCATGCGGTCTAGTTATTTAGTACTGTGGAAATTAAACCAGGTTGGGAAATAATGTTTCAGTATACTTATTGGAATTGACATGCAAGAATCTTTGTCTCGTATACATGTATTAAAAAATGTGCACCCAGAACTAAATCACTTTATACTCAAACTGTTCATTAAATACTAATTGATATGGAATAGAGCAGTTGCTAATCAGTTAAACTTTGCAGCAACAATTGGAATTTGCAAATCATGAAGTGAGCATTTGCTTCCATGTTTTTCAAAGTGATTGAGCAACTGGACCAACCAAATTGTTGACATGTACTACCAGTATGCCACGATATCACTAATGTTAGGAAGCATATATTTGTAGAACATACTATTGGAAATCATGAACTACATTTTTGTTGCAATGCCTGAATTAGTTCCAGCATGGACCATGGTTGTAGAGAAAGGACGTGTTATAGATTAAGTTACATTCAAAGTAGAGCTGATCATTTTGGTTGAACAACTAAGACGATGTAAAAAATACGTAGGGCACAATATGACTATGCCACATAAAAATAAAGATGATAATACTTTGTAACTAAGTACCTTTTTACTGAAGAGGTCACGTGCATCCGTGTGATCTAGATCTTTGAGCATGTATATATTTTCTTCTTGTCTCTGTGAACAAACTTTAGCTATATTTTCTTCCCTGGTGGTGACAACGATCCGGCTTGTATGTTCCATTCCAAGGAAATTCGGTACTATCATGTTCCATTCTGCAGTAGATGATACATCATCAAGAACAATCAAGCACCTCTTTCCTTCTATAAGCCTTTCCATCTCCTTAATAAGTGCTATTAGTGGCATCAATAGTAATGTGGTCCTTGTCTTGCCCATCAAACCCACCACGTCTTTCTTATCTGAAGATTCTCTTGTCTTGCCCATCAAACCCACCACGTCTTTCTTATCTGAAGATTCTCTATCAAGTTGCATAATCAAGCTCCTAAGAAGACCTTCAAGATTGAAAGGACGCATAACTGTGACACAAGCACGCTTCTCAAATGTGCTACTCAGCTCTTGGTTTTGGTAGATATCTTTGACTAGAGTGGTCTTTCCTAGACCACCCATTCCCCACACAGAGATCACCTGCTATTTTTGGGTAGCTTGATTTAAAATTAGCTTGATAATCTCAACTTTTTCTTTCTCTCGCCCTACAAGATGAGACTCCTCGAAAGCAGTCATCATTGTCCTGGTGCGACTGAAGCTCTTTTTTATGGTAATTTTTTCAGCAACACCCTTGAATTGATCCTCTAATATTTCACCAGTGGGAACTACAGTGTTGTTATCTGTTGTGGTAGTGGTATGGTCTGAGCTTGACGCTAAACCTGTTCCATCTTGAGAGACCTATGCACAAGCAAGAAATGTTCATCCATGAATCAATGTAAAATAATGCTAAATATGTACTCCGTCCGTAAAGAAATATAAGAGGGTTTAGATCACTACTCTAGTGATCTAAATGCTCTTATATTTCTTTACAGAGGGGGTAGATTATAAAAATCAACTGAATGGTTAAAGTGCAACTTCCCATTTGAACCCTTATTGAGCTATTTTTATACCATTTCCTGAATAAACCACAACTTAAAATATAAAATAAATTCAAACAAACATGTGCAGGTATACACGCGCGAGCAAAACTGATTAATACTGACAACGGTGCATGCAGCATTAAAAACATCATCCGCTGGAAACCAGCGCAGCGCCCATATACCTCGAAAGATCAGAAATGCTGTTATTAAATCCTGACCAGCATGACCTTAACGGGCAGCAATAGCTCGGCAATTGTTATTCGCCACTTGAAACAAAGACGCCGGAGTGAGAACTTGAGCTAACGCGCCACAGCAGCTCGGCAAATACGAGCAGCTTCCACCTGCTCGGGCAAGCGACTGATCTGCTGCGGAAGCCCTGTACCGCGTTTCTAAACAGGCGATATGAAAAAAATGCCCAGAAAGACTCATCCAATCGGAGGCATTCTTCAGAAATGCCTTAAACTACAGGTGATTTGAGGCAAACCTAAAAAATGCCTTCTTATATATAGGTTGGAGGCATTTATGGAAATGCCTTTAACAAAACGCCTCCTATATATTAACAACCGTGTTGTAGTGTAGGTTGATCTAGAAGAACAGCAGGAGGTGGAACTTGAATGTTACCTTCTCATGGAAAGCATAAATACTCTGATCAGCAGACATGCGCCTAAGCACTGATACTATGCTTTCTTGCCCTGCACATAAGCTTGCAACTTCAACTTGAGCTGTGGACACTATGATCCTGCTCCCCATTGTCGTGTCTGGGAAGCACCTTTTAATCAGATCCCACTCCTCAATAGTGGACAGATCGTTAAGTACAATCAGGTATCTTTTACTGTTCACATAACTTTTAAACTCTTCAGCCAACTCTTGCAACGTCCTCTCCATTTCCAGCACAACATCAACCCCAACGGCTGCGTCAAACTGCTGCACCAAACTCTGAACAAATTCTTTTGGATTAAAAGGATGAATCACTCTGACCCAAGCTCGGTATGAGAACTTGCTTTTAATATCTGGATCCTCATACACCGTCCTGATGATGGAAGTCTGCCCGAGATCAGCACTTGTTCCCCACACTGCAATTACCCTAAGCTGATTCTCCTTCCTGTTGAGGAGCTGGACAAGTTCTACTTTTGATTTCTCCTGCTTCATTGCATGTTTTGCTTCATCGATGCCAAACAGTGCTGCAGAAGCAATGCTAGACTGCTCTGAAGCCATGGCGGCCTTGGATCCAGAGCCCTTGATGAGACTGTAGCGCATGTTTCTCTGGCTGACATCCTCAACATTGGCTCTGAGGTCCTTCATCTGCATTGCCACACGACGCCGGTCGAGTAGGTTGCGACGGATACGCCACCAAGACTGCTTCTGGAGGCGCACGGCGAACTCCTGGAGTGTGTCCTCGACGTCGTAGGCCACGTCGCGGACTTGCTTCACCCAGACCTTGACCACCCTGTTGCCATCTCCCTCGTCATGAGCAGACTCAAGGAAAGCCTGCATCATCTGGAGCTCATTGGTGATGAGGCACCCTGTATTAATTTCCAGAAAATGGCCCTTGTGCTCACCAGCCCCAGGATAACTGTTAGCTGATGAGGCACCAACTTGATACAGAAGTTCCAAGCAAAACACAAAATATGTAGTACAAGACCATTCTGGCCTGTGAGTACAACAAAATGGTTCTAGTGGTTGATGGCGGATGCGGTTTGTGGATCCTAAGTATCCATGGAACTCCATTTTCCACAGGAACAACTGACCAGGTTAACTCCTATCTTCGCGAGTCTGCTATCACCGTTGCTTAGGTTCCGGGACTGTCGGCACGGTCGCTCCTCTCCGCGCAAGAAAATCTGGTCAAGACAATAGCCAGGGACAAGCCAGTGAGTACTTTGAATGTACCCGCAAACATTATGAACACGGGTATAATATGGCAACGATGTACTGAAAAATATTTTATGCTTATGACGTCAGTCACAAAAGATAAGTAAAATTCTGATGCGTACAAGCATGTTAATTATGAATATGCAATAGCATAGCAATATTAAAATTATGAAATAAAAAAACAAACATGCCACAGCCGGGCGTCTGAGCGACACCACATAAAAGGCTTTTAAAAGAAATGCCACAGTCGGGCGTCTAAGCGACACCACATAAAGGGCTTTTAAAAGAAATGCCACAGTCGGGCGTCTGAGCGACACCACAAAAAGGGCTTTAAAAGAAATGCCACAGTCGGGCGTCTGAGCGACACCACATAAAGGGCTTTAAAAGGACCAATCATAGTGAATATCCCGGAGGTAAAACCATCCCGGGGATATTTGGTAATACCAAAAATATCATGGGTTAGTTCACAATGAAAATAATAATCATAATCATCATAAATCACAAGTGGTGTTTCCAGCTCTGGTTCAACAGTTTCACCTCCGAAGACCGACACTAAGACCGACACTCGACCCATCCCAGACTGAAGTCCTTAACCATGGACACGGCTATTCGAATAGGTTTAATCTCTGCAGAGGGTGTACTCTTTACCCACGAGTGACGGATTCCTTTAGTCCATCAAGACTAATTCCGTCTACGATCTTTTAGTTGGAAACACACCAATCTTGCACACACCAGCTTAACTCACATGTGTCTGGAATCACCCACGACACCTGTCAAGCAAACTCTAAGTGGGGAGGCTACAACCTCGACGTAACATGGGATCACAAAATTTATACCGCGCGCAAACGGGGTAGCTACCCCCTTCGGCTACAACTGAAACACCCATGCTCCCGGACCTGGTGGCATGACTACCGGATGCCTCCAGTATCTTCCACCGTGGCCACTCTGTATGGTGTGTGCTAGGAAAGGGGTTGACAACTTACCGAACCGTGCCCTACTTGTTGTAGAGACGAGTGGTAGTACGAAGCAAGTATGGGGGTTACTGGCACAAGACTCGATCTACGGTCGACTCAGGAGGTTCAAATATTTCCTGCAGGATTAGCATAACAATACATATACTTCAACCCACAGATAGAAACACCATGCGACATACCCCCTCATGCCATAATGGACACGGCCGTCTCGACGGAGGACTAGGGACAAGACCGTGTCTACCCAAGACAGAGGCCTTCCCGGCTTCCCTTCCGGTATGCATGAAAGGTATATGACGGTGATTTCCATCACAATCATGTCAACTTCATCAGCATAAAAATCATTAATATGCACTCATGAATAGGATCACATCCTCACATAAAATGACGCATGCACGTGTCGGGGTGGTGTTGTCACCGAGTCAAACAACACACACAAAAATTACACCAGGGTTCAGTATGCTTGCCTTCAGGTCATGAGAAAGCAGGGTGCATTCCAAAACATCTTGAAATCAGCAAAAATCCTATTTAAAAAAATATATATAAGAATTAACACACAAAATCAAAACAGCACACAAAGTTGTTTTGAAAAAATTTCAAATAAATCTTAAAATAAACTAGACAATATTTGAGAGAGGTAGGAAAAAGAATTAATTTATTTGGAGTTGTATTTAATAAGATATAGCCGGTTAAAGTTTGGTCAAAAAATCTGTTATTTAAATAAAAACAGAGAAGAAAACGTTTCGAATATATACGTACACGTCGAAGGCGCATTTTGGAAATGCGCTTCCACTTAACCCACGTGGACTGGGCGGGGTCACTGACAGTGGGTCCAGGGGGCCCACTGGTCAGGTTTGACCAGTCCAACTCTCCTTCCTCTTTCTCTGCCCGAACGGCGGCGAGGCAACGGCGATCAACGCCGGCGAGCGGCGGCTCCTCGCGGGCTCCAGATGGTCGGGATGGATCCGCAAGACCGGGGCGGTCCTTCCGGTGGTCGCTGGGTCGGCGGGGACGGAGTGAGCTGCCGGCGGCGAGCTTCGCGGCGGAGGAGGCATTCGGGAGCAAGGTGGGTTTGGGGCTGCGGTGGCTCCCGATCAAAATCGAGCAGGGGGACGTGCTCACGGGAGGAAGGGAAGGCTCCTGGTGGAGATAGTGGAGAGGGGGAGGCCCTGGTGGCGCCGAAATGGCCGGGGCCGTGGCGGCGGCTGTGGTTGCCGAAGATGGGGAAGGAGACCTCCCCGAATTGATTGGCTGCCAATGGGGTCCTAGGGAGATGGTTTGGGACTGCCTGCGTGCGTGGATGAGCTCGGGGCTCCTTATATAGGCGATGGAGGTCGGTTCCGAGGTGGCCGGCGATAAGGACGACGGCGAACCGCCATGCTGGAGCTTGGGCGACGTGGCGGCGACGAGCGCTAGGGGACACGCTTGCGGATGAGCACGCACTACTCCAGGAGGCAGGTGGCAAGCGCTGGCGGCTTGGGCGGCGCCGACACGGCCGGGGCCTGCATGCGGCCGTCAGCTAGCCGCCACGGCCATCTTGATGGTGGCGCTGTGGGGTGCCAGGGTGGTCGGGGTGGCGTGACGGTGCAAGGGGACACGGCGTGCTTGTTGCGGTCGGTCACGGACCGGATTGGGTGCGTGGTGGGACGCGGCGGCTCGGGCGCACGTGCGTGCCAAACGCACGCTCTGGGCGCGCCCAGTGCACGCCCGGGACGTGTTCGACGAAATGCCAGGGCAGCCTAGAGGTCGCGGTTGAGGCTGGCAAGAAACAGGGCTAGTCTAGGGTTAGCAAGGGAATCAAGGGACATGGTGGATAGGTCAGGGGCTCAAGTTCACAATGTAAACTTGAAATCATGCCAAATCTGGCTATGCACTCAGGGTGTTTGACAAAATGCCAAAGGCACCTAGGCCAAATCTCCGAGAGTGGGGTCTCTATGGATGAATGGGAGGGTGGTGAAGTTAGTTTGCAAAAAGGAGAAACTTGCTAGTGCAAGTTTTGCAAAACTACACTTCTGGACAGGGAGTAAATGGCATCATTACATGGACCAAAAGTGTTCCAAAAAGTGCATGCTCCTGGACTTAGGGGTTTTGCAGGGTTGACTACAAGCATGAGAAAGCACAAGGTCATTGGTGCAAGAATGGATGGGGTTGCAGTAGAAAACACAGGTCTGGTCCAGAATGAAAAAGAGGTTGATGCACTTAATTTTTCCATAGAACATCACAAGGTTTTTGCATAAAGTTGGATGGCATGCTACTACTGACATCCCATAATTTTGGTGGAGGCTCTAGGGAAATATTTAGATAGGCTATAGTGCAAAAGTGCCCACTGGACCAGATTTGAAAAACAGGTACAAAACTCATAATATGCAATGAAATAAATATATTATTGCACAAAAGTGATTTAGAGACATCACATGACACCTCCAAATTTTGGTTGAAATATTAGTTAAAGTTATCAAATGGTTGTAGTTCAAACAGAGCTCCAAATCTTAAAGAAATTCATTTTAATAATTATAGCTCAGGGTGGAATAATTTAATAAATAAATCTACTGATTAAGAAATTGTTTTAATGAGATCACTACTAGGAAAAGGCCTACTAATGGCGCACAAGTTTTGCCTACTAATGGCGCATCACTGGTGCGCCATTACTAGCACGCCATTAGTAATTTTTACTAATGGCGCACCACTGATGCGCCATTAGTATCTGGTATACTAATGGTGCACCACTGGTGCGCCATTAGTATAGGCCACAGTGCGTCATTAGTATAGGCCACTGGTGCGCCATTAGTATAGGCCACGGTGCGCCATTAGTATTTTTGAATTTTGAAGGCGGGAAAATAGTAGTGGCGAACCGTCTAACCCCCACCGTGCGCCATTGCTATTTTTGAATTTTGAATTTGGATCTGGATCGTGATTTTTTTGCCCATTTTTTGCTAGTTTTTTTTGCTCGTTTTTTGGCAGATATTATTTCAAATTTTGTTCCTGTTTTTGGATCTTGTACGTTCTTTTGCCGTGTTCTTTTGCCGGAGAGGAGTTCGCCGGAGAGGAGGAGGAGGAGGTCACCGGAGAGGCGATCGCCTATGTCGCCGGAGAGGAGTTCACCGAAGCATTGGAGAGGAGGAAGGAGAAACCATGAGGGAATGGGAGGAGAGGAGGGAGGAGGAGCTCACCGGAGAGGAGGGAGGAGAAACCGTGAGGGGAGG